ACCTCGCGCATGCTTGAGAAGCAACCTCGCGCATGCTTGAGGACAGCTTCGCGCATGTTGGAGGGCAGCCTCGCGCATGCTGGAGGGCAGCCTCGCGCATGCTTGAGGACAGCTTCGCGCATGTTGGAGGGCAGCCTCGCGCATGCTGGAGGGCAGCCTCGCGCATGCTTGAGGCCAGCTTCGCGCATGCTTTAGAGGCAGCCTCGCGCATGCTTGAGGGCAGTTTCGCGCATGCTGGAGGTTACAGCACTGGACTACCTGACTAGAACATGGAGACTGGCTAATCTGGTTCGATTCCTTCAGGGGTCAAGAGTTTTCGGATATATATATATATATATATATATATATATATATATATATATATATATATATATATATATATTCAACTTTATGTATAAGAGCAAAATCTAACCCACGGTAGACATTGATAGGTAAGCACACCTCACTACCAGTACCACACTACCACCACACCACCACCAACACCAACCACACCACCACACATCCTGGGCAGGGCGAGACAGCTAGGCGCGTCTCCTTGCACCCGTTGCCTCTGTTCACCTAGCAGTAATTAGGAACATGGTTGTTAGTCGACCATTGTGGGTCGCTTTCTGAGGAATGTTCAAATACTGTTCATATTCGAGAAAACTTCGAATTTCCCACAAAACATGCAATATGTGAGTACACACACCACCACCACCAACCACACCACCACCACCACACCACCACCACACCACCACATACACCACCACATCACCCCCCCCACACCACCACCCCCCACAACACCACCCCCCACAACACCACACACCACATACACAACACACACCACCACCACACACACACCACCCCCCACCACCACACACACCACACCACCACCACACCACCACCCCCCACAACACCACCCCCACCACGCTACACTCCCCAGGAAGCAACACCTCACCAGCAGACCAGATCTCCTCTCTCGTAAATAGCGCGTCACTTGATCACTGATCTGTTATTAGGAAAACCTTTACCATTATATTTAAGGACCGCACCACCAGTGAACGACGGAGGTCGGATCAGGTTGTCCAATTTGAAACATCGTGCAGCTTGGGATCGGATTGCCTATTTAATCGAGAAAAAGATATCTTGGGTGATAGGATTCTCTTACCCTCTCCTTTCTCCCTCTACTTCTCTTTTTGCCTTACTCTCCCTACATCTCTCTCTCTACTCATCTCTGGTTCTCCTTCTGATCCTTCCAAGTTCTCTCTGTCTCTCCCTCACCCCGTTATCCCTCCAGGAACTTTATGTCTCGACGTTCGAAGCGTAAACAGTAGAAATCTTTTAGAAACGATTAATGAAATATTTTAATGTTAGGCTATCGAATTTTATTAAATAAAACTTCGTGCAAACCATGCACAACGCTCTACATATTTCGTTTTGAGCCAAATTGATAAGAGTGGATAATAAGGAGCTTGAAAACAAGAGTGGATAATGAAGAGCTTCAAAATAAGAATTGACACAAGTGATGGCACTCTGAAGCACTGGTGCTATGTCGTGTGAAATATTGCACGGGCTTCACGTCTTCTTCAGGCGAGATAGCCAAGCTGAACTATTTAGATAGCCAAGCTGAACTATTTAGATAGCCAAGCTGAACTATTTAGATAGCCAAGCTGAACTATTTAGATAGCAAAGCTGAACTATTTAGAGTGATCGTTTACTGATCCAGCGGGCACGATATCCCAAAAAGTAACGTTGCTACAAAGTTGAATTAACGCTGTTCTTGGATACTACGTTGCCCATTGGGTAGAATCTGTAGAGTCCCATCCCAGTCTAATAATAAATAGTAAAATCTAATCTGAGCCGACCCAACAACCTCTCTTAATTCTCGTGTCCACTCTCACAGTTCCTCATACTAGATTATAAAGTTTCCGGCGAGGTAGGAAAGGGGGTCATGATGCTAGGCTGTACTTAAGTACTTTAGGTAGTGGGACCGCCTGGAAGCACTCATAATTTTCTCCTTGCAGTGAAGCCGAGAGAGGCTTCATAATATACACATGGGGAAATACTGGAAGGTCAGGTCCGAGGCCTACACAAGGAAGTTACAACACAATGATGTCACAATAACTTGGCTGAAGAATTGTCGCCCAACGCGAACCGGAACGTCATCGTTGTTTCATTTTCCAATTTATGGTTTGGCTGTCAAAATTACACCATACTGGAGTTAGAGATATGGTAGGAAATGGAAAATAAATCCTATTAAAAGCCGAAGCACCGCAGGAGTTAACAAATAAAAGAAATATAACCGGACCGACAGTGGCAGATTTCAGGAGAAAGCTTAACAAGTTACTAACAGGCCATCGAACTTTCAAACCGTCTCTTTCTACATCCAAATCCTCTTCTGTGAATTTCACCTCCCGATCCCTCTCCCTCCCCCCACACTTTCCAAGCCCTCTGCTAGAGTTACCGGTTCAGCCTGGCTGTGATGACAATAAGACTCTGCCATCTACAAACACAAACAGCTTCATAGACCAGGCGATCACCAAGGACGTCTAGTCCCTGGCCAGGCTGAACGACGAAAATAATCCACAGATGGGTGGTGTTGAATAGTGTGCTAAAGAAAGATTGCAAATGTTCTCCGGTGCGTTTAACTTCGCAATACACGGGAAACGGGTATAAATTGGATAAGTTTAGATTTAGGAAAGACCTGGGTAAATACTGGTTCGGTAACAGGGTTGTTGATTTGTGGAACCAATTTCCGTGTAACATAATAGAAGTAGGATCCCTTGATTGTCTCGAGCCTAGGTTAGACATATATGAATTTATGATTTACACACATTTCGTGATTTACACACATATATATGAATGAGTTTGGATTGATATAAATAGGAGCTGCCTCGTATAGGCTAATAGGCCTTCTGCAGTTACCTTGAATCTTATGAAACGGGACAAGTGTTTCCGGAAATCTTGGGAAAAGGGAGCAAGCTTTTGGGGTTTATGGAAGAAAAGGGGTAAGGGTAAGGGGGAAAATGGGCAAGTGTTTGGAATTTGCGGTGAAAAAACTAGCCTAGTGATAAAAGAATTAGCTTCAATATCAATTTTGTTCCCATTAAAGGTGCTTTTTAAGTGTCCCAACAGAGCTTGGTGATAGGTAATCTTTGCTCTCTCATCAACAGTGCGGGGAGTAGCTGGAGAACCTTCCGCTTTTCTATTCAAACCTAATTTGTTTAAACTGTTTCTGTAGGTTTTCCATGTTGTGTAGTTTTAGTGCTCGAAGCAGCCTGACGCCCGTGTTGTCCACCGGGGCGTCTGTAATCTCTTCTTCCAAAATACATAATCACTCTTACTCTATATTTTACTCACAATCAAACCCCCCCCCCCCTACCCCCTACCCCCACCCCCTCATAGCCCACAAAACTACCTAGGTCTACCAGCCTCGCTCCCAACCGACCCAACAACCTCTCATGATTCGCGTGTCCTCATTCACAGTTCCTCATAATAGATTATAAAGTTTCCAGCGGTGCAGGTAAGGGATCATGAGGCTAGGCTGGTATCGTATGTCGCCGTGACATTCGACCCTGGACGAGTCTTCAGAATAATGGCGCCGCGGCGTTCTCTTAGACCTAAGCCGCCTACCCGTGATTTGTGGGGTTCGACTCCTTGTTGCGGAGGTATGGTGATGTGGAATCCTTCACTGGTTTGGATAGGTTGCCTGGGCGAGTAGGGTCTACAACCTGAGAAACGTTTGTACACTTTTATGTCATCGCTATTTTCTAAACACACCTGGTCTAGCCTAATCAAATCTAATCTAACCTAGGCTAACTTAGCCTTGCATAACATAGCCTAACCCACCCTAACCTGACCTAGCTTAACTCAACCTAATCAAACGAAAATAACAGTTAAAATGACTTATGTTTTATAGATGGTGTGGACGAAGTGCGTGGCGTCACGATGATTGGTACAAGGTTGTTGTACCAACGATTAGGTTAGTTTACGGGCTATTCATGCCCGTGCCACCTCTTGGGTGGCTTAATCTTTATCAATCGATTAGGTTAGTACAAGGTTTCACATCCTCCTGGGCTAGAACCCCAATGACTTTCGCTTCTAGACCCTTGCCCCTCTACGGAACAAAACTGAGTCACTGATTTAATGAACTAATCGAACGATTGTATATGCGATTGTACGATGACACAAACCTTGGATTGGGGGTGCCGGAAGGTGGTGCCTAACTCCGAACCAGGTATCAGGTATCAACCAGGATGACAAGTGATGTGCTTCTGGGTGAGATACTGGTACCCCATCGTGGTCTTGAAGGGGGGGGGGGGGATGCTCTCCCCTTCATCTACTCTCACCCCTCACTTTCCATCCCCCTCTCCCCCAGCTGCTTTCACCCTCCCTCTCTCCTCAGCAACTCAGACCTTCACTCTCCTAACAGCTACTCTTCCTCCCTCTCCCCTCAAGTACTTATCAGCTATAGCATCATCATCATCATCATCATCACACAGTGTCTATAATCTAAATTATAGATTATAACATCATAATCTAAACTGTTAAGAGTTGTGTAACCAGTTTTATAACAGTTACTGCACATTTAAATTATTGCAATAGATGACACTAATCGATTACAGGACCTGGGCTCACAGGACCTGGGTTCATAAGACCTGGGTTCACAGGACCTGGACTCTCAGGACCTGGGTTCACAGGACCAGGGCTCACAGGACCTGGGCTCACAGGACCTGGGCTCACAGGACCTGGGCTCACAGGATCTAGTTATCAACAATCTCTGCCGACTTTATTTGCAAAATTATACCCGCTCCACCTTCGTGGCCTGCTTCCTACTTCATGTTGTCTATTGAACGGTGTTTACGACACGAGATTTCCAGTCTGGGTTAAAAGGAAGACATTTTCCATGTTGGAAGGCAACTGGGCAAGAAGGTGTTTACCTTTCAAAAGTTCCCGGACCTTCAGAGCCTCAACTGTTCTTTTCGTAAATAATGAGACGTGGTTTTTTTTCGTCTTTTCAGGAATTCGCCGAAACCGCAATGAATGAGCTCTTAGGCTTGTACGGGTACGGCAAGGTGGACAGCCGGGACACCCTTGGGCTGTCGTTGCATCGCTTCACGGCAGCACACAGCCCGCCCATGCCGCCCGCTGCTGCTGCCGCTGCCGCTGCTGCTGCCACCAACACCAGCGGCAGCAGCCCCTTACGCCCCACCACCCACAGTCCCTCCAGGCTACTTCGACACAGTCCTCCTGCCTCCGCTAGTCACAGCCCGCAGCACCATGCCTCGGACCATGAAGGCGACTCCCTAGACTCCGAGGATATGCCAGTCTCTGGTCACCTGGAGCATGGTCTGAGGAGTGTCAGTCCAGGGAAGACTGACCAAGGCTCCGGATCTTCCAGAGGCAGCACCCCGAAGTCAGGTAGGTCGATGTTGCTTGATTCTTCTCTAGATATTCCATGGATGTTAATTTAATTATTTCATGTTCCTAGATGCCTTGTAGGTTCTCTAGTGTCATAACAAGCCTACAGTTCAATTTTATACCACCCAATCTCATTCAATAGGCCTAGGCTACGTCCAGCTACCATTAGAAGAAAATCTAGCATTACGTAGATCGTAATCTACGAAATTTACAGCGCCAGAGATACCACTTGTGTACCGGCTGTGTGGTTTATTAATAGCCTATCTCGATGTTATCTCCTTGAGAGTCTTAATAATGAGGTAATTACGATACGAAACCTAAGATTCTACGAGTTCTGCCCGCTAGGAGTGGAGGCTCTCTTAGCCGCCCCAGAGACTTTGGGCCAGATTCACGAAAGCACTTACGCAAGCACTTACGAACGTGTACATCTTTCCTCAATCTTTGACGGCTTAAGTTACATTTATTAAACAGTTTACAAGCGTGAAAACTTCCCATTCAATTATTGTTATTGTTATAAACAGCCTCCTGGTGCTTCGGAGCTCATTAAATGTTTAATAATTGGAAACAAAGCCGCCAAAGATTGAGAAAAGATATACAGGTTCGTAAGTACCTGCGTAAGTGCTTTCGTGAATCTGGCCCTTGCACTCCAGACTCGACGAACTGTGGCCCATCGGTAGAGCGTCGGCTGGAGTTCGAGTAGTCATGACCGAAGACTCTGGTGGAACAGATGAGCCACGAACGCTGGAGTTAAAGTTTAAGACCTATCGACTGCCTGGAGCATTAAGGAAATACACTTGTTTGTTTCTTCCCTTAAAGTTTTACTTATAAACAACCCGTCCTCTCCCCTAACACGCTGCCATTTTTGTTTACGAATTCGCCCAGTTCGTAATACAAAACGACGTATTAGTTGGAAATATTGTTGAAAATTGTTGTTGTTGAAAAATTAGTTGAAAATTAGTTGTCGCCAAAGCACCAAAACCTTGGCGTTTTGTGTGCATCTTTCTCTATACGGTAGGGAACTATGGGGGGGGGGATTGTATGCTACTAGTTAGGCAAAACAGTTGCAATTATTACGGAATGCAAAATCGAGAGAACAGCCAGTTCATTAATGGCCAGTTAAGGGTTAAATTAAACCCTTAATGTGTATTATTGAGAAATACACCTGTGAATACAATCTGGACTTAATAATACACTTTGCTTGCGTATAAACGTTTCTGTCTCGTATAGTGTAAGTGCTGAGATGGCTCAGAAAGGAACAGAACGTTCATTTAATGAACGTTAATATTAAGGTATTATACCTTAACTGAAGTATACCTGGAGTATACGTAGAGTTTACATGAAGTATACTTGAAATTTACATGAAGTATACCTGAAGTGTACATGGAGTATACCTGGGGTATAGAGGGTTATGGGAGTTTTTCTACTCTCCGAGCCCGGCCTGGGGCGCAGACTTGTCCTGTGATGCCTTGATCTATATGACTGTTGTTGACGTGATGGCTCAACCACGACTATTGTAAGATCGTGTGTCCTCCTGGTGTCCGCTGGCAGCGGTGTGTTGACAGTGGTTGTGGTCGTGACTGTGTCGCAATGTCTTTGGCCCTACCAGATCTTTGTCTATAGCAGCGCCTGTACCACTCTCTCTCTGTACCAGTCAAGTATTTGTATACTATAACCCATCAGTATCTGTAACCAATCAGTATCTGTACACCCATCAGTATCTGTAACCCATCAGTATCTGTAACCAATCAGTATCTGTACACCATCGCCTGTACTTATGAGTGTGATCAACCCCCCCATAGATGTCTTAAGAGGTAATCTTGGCATCTACATTCTCCCAAATGACAGGAGTCTGGCCTCTGAACGCTTCTGGTTGTGGTTTCAGATTTAGCTACTCAGAACGAAGTGTCCATGTAGCGTGGGCTATGGTGAGCCCCGTGCTGAACGCTTGGATAACCCGACCTGATGTCACTCTCTCTCCAGGCCTTGCCTTACCTACCTACCCTCCCCTTTCCTTTCCTTTCATTTTCTCTCCTCTCTCTCGCCAACCTCCCCCATCCCTTCTCTCCCCAGGTGTTTCTTCCCACGAGCACAGACAGCGTCATTGAGTTGACGGTTGGGATTAGTCTTGGAGAGGGGGGAGTTAATCATGCATTAGTTTTATATTGCATGATTTGCCCCCCACCAGAGCGCAACTCCATAGTCTCCTGAGACTGATGGATGCCTACTAATACTAGTTTTATATTTGTTACGTTGATAAACGTTACAACGAACGTACAAAACAAAATGGGAGGAGAAGTACCCAAACACGTGCATGATGTAAACACAGCGTTTGATGTTTACACTGCCACGCGTGGACGGAAAATGGGCGTGACTTCGGACGCACTTTGTAAACATCGACTTCAGACGCACTCTGTAAACATTGATTTGACCACGCTGTAAACATCGACTTGACCACTCTGTAAACATCGACTTGACCACTCTGTAAACATGGACTTGACCACTCTGTAAACATCGACTTGACCACTCTGTAAACATGGACTTGACCACTCTGTAAACATGGACTTGACCACTCTGTAAACACCCACCTGACCACTCTGTAAACATGGAGTTGACCACTCTGTAAACATGGACTTGACCACTCTGTAAACACCCACCTGACCACTCTGTAAACATGGACTTGACCACTCTGTAAACACCCACCTGACCACTCTGTAAACACCCACCTGACCACTCTGTAAACATGGACTTGACCACTCTGTAAACATCCACCTGACCACTCTGTAAACATGGACTTGACCACTCTGTAAACATGGACTTGACCACTCTGTAAACACCCACCTGACCACTCTGTAAACATGGACTTGACCACTCTGTAAACACCCACCTGACCACTCTGTAAACATCGACTTGACCACTCTGTAAACATGGACTTGACCACTCTGTAAACACCCACCTGACCACTCTGTAAACATGGACTTGACCACTCTGTAAACATGGACTTGACCACTCTGTAAACATGGACTTGACCACTCTGTAAACATGGACTTGACCACTCTGTAAACATGGACTTGACCACTCTGTAAACACCCACCTGACCACTCACCCACCTGACCACTCTGTAAACATGGACTTGACCACTCTGTAAACACCCACCTGACCACTCTGTAAACATGGACTTGACCACTCTGTAAACATCGACTTGACCACTCTGTAAACACCCACCTGACCACTCTGTAAACATCGACTTGACCACTCTGTAAACATGGACTTGACCACTCTGTAAACACCCACCTGACCACTCTGTAAACATCGACTTGACCACTCTGTAAACATGGACTTGACCACTCTGTAAACACCCACCTGACCACTCTGTAAACATGGACTTGACCACTCTGTAAACATGGACTTGACCACTCTGTAAACACCCACCTGACCACTCTGTAAACATGGACTTGACCACTCTGTAAACATCGACTTGACCACTCTGTAAACACCCACCTGACCACTCTGTAAACATCGACTTGACCACTCTGTAAACACCCACCTGACCACTCTGTAAACACCCACCTGACCACTCTGTAAACATGGACTTGACCACTCTGTAAACACCCACCTGACCACTCTGTAAGTATCACACAGCAGAAATGAACCCAAACCTGCATCGTAAGTGCTCCTTGTAAATTACGAGAACTCAACTTACAGGAGGATTCTAATCTTCTAATCCAGTGACCATGAACGGAAAATATTATTACAGTTATTGGGCAGTCCGCTTGGGGATTTCTTTTAGTTATATTATTTTTATTATTATTATGTAATAGTATATTATTGTGAATTCCTTCAGGGATCAGTAAACTTTTAAGCTCTTTATTTGTTAGCAAGGAAGATCCCTATTGTTACTCTGCCTTTTGCCCCCCTGGTGGCAGATATTAGAAACCATTTTTAACGCATCGTCGAAAAAAAAAAAAATTCGACTTGCAAAAAAAAAAATCGACAAAAATTACAAATTTCCATACGATAGGCTACATTACATTAGCAATAAATTACTAAACACTTATATCCCTTTAACTCTCTCTCTCTCTCTCTCTCTCTCTCTCTCTCTCTCTCTCTCTCTCTCTCTCTCTCTCTCTCTCCTTATCTCCGTACACCTATATGTCTCCATCCGTCTATCTCTATCTTTCTAGGACGTTGAGAAATAATTAGCCGTATTAGCCAGCTGCGGGCCTGGGGGCAGCAGGCCGGGCGTGGTGCCAGGCTGGCTCCTAGCGAGGCTCACGCCAAATGAATTCATTTAATGGCTATATTTGTCGCAGAGTTTCTATATCGGGTCCTTATGCCTTGCCGGCGACCCCTTGAGCCGCCATATCACAGAATATCATCATCTTTCTTAGGCTACGCTTTCAAACTTCCACCTGTGTGTGTGTGTGTGTGTGTGTGTGTGTGTGTGTGTGTGTGTGTGTGTGTGTGTGTGTGTGTGTGTGTGTGTGTGTGTGTGTGTGTGTGTGTGTGTGTGTGTGCGTGTGTGTGCGTGCGCGTCCCCATAAATCGTTACGTTTATAAAAAAAATTCAAAGAAATCAAATGGGGTGGGGTCGAAATAGTCAATGTATATACAGCCAGGTTTGTCAAAGGACAAAATTCCCCTAATATGTGATTAAACTCCATCAGTATATATCCTTTTAAGTGGCCGGCCAGTTCTATCTCTCAGGACAGCTCTTTCTCGGGTGTCTCGTCGGCCGTTTTAGAAGGAAGAGCAAAAAGTGAGGCGCGGTATTTACTTTCCATGCTTCGCCTGTCACTTTCCACGCCAGATTTTCCCGCCACTTTGAGACGCGGCAAGAGCGCCAGGATTTGGCACCAGCGCCCCCGCCAGGCGCCCGGACTAAAAATGTAGCGATAACATTTATTAACTTACATATATTATGTTTCCTAATACTGACTTCTTGCCCTGAGAACGTCAGGGATGTGTCGCCCTGAGAACGTCAGGGAAGGGTTTCCTGCTGA